TGCTGAAATTACCACTTTGATCCAAAAAGATGTCTGGATTAGATTTAAAAAAGGCTATAAAATTTCCATCATGAAAGTCTTGTAAGAGGTTGTTAAGCATGACAGTAATTTTGAACCTACTTTTTTAAGAGGACTTGATCACATGACATTATGAGGTCCTTTCCAGCCCTATTTTCTATGAACTATACATACAACTTCTCTAAAATACTCTGATAACATTCAGTGCAGTGCATCCAAAACCTGTATTTAGCAGCAGGATTACTTCCAAAATCAGTTTTTTTCTAGAAATATATCACCCTCCTTTTTCTTTTTCTCCCATCAGGACCAGTACGTCTTCCTAAACCAGTGCGTTATGGATATTATTAAATCCCAGAAAGACAAGAAAACTGATCTTATTTACCAAAACATGACAGCCATGGCAATCTATGAAAATTTCACACCTGGGCCAGGCTTTGGGAAGGCCAATGGCTACCACACATAGTCTGGAAGGATGCAGTGTCTCCGGGTGTTACCTGCACATAGGAAAGGCAGATGTTCCACTCTTGTGTTCCAGGATTGTGTGCAGCATCTCGCGTCTGGCTTCTCCAGTGCTGTCTGCATTCAGAGAGGTGATCTGCAGGAGGAAAAACACAATGCTGGCAGGAGCCACAGATTCAGATTTGAAAAACAAAAATCGAGCAAAATTATTTAAAGTTAACAGAGGAATCTTGCTTTTTCTTGGGAATTTAACAGTGCTGATAGCTGAAATAGCATATGCAGTAAGAACAGTGAACTAGAATTTAAACATTAAAATAATAACACAAGCTTTTTATTACAGTTTTACATGATTTCATTTACAGACAGCAGGCTTGTGGGCCATTTTAATATATTTAATTATAAGTTTCAGGAACATATTTTATCTACTGTATCCAGTTACTTAGCTAATAGATACGTGCCTCTGTGATTTATTTTTTTCTGCGTTCCTTTTTATTTAAAAAAGGAGTACAAACAGCTCCTTCAAATGGACATTTATACTTGGAAATTGTGCCTTTTCTAGTTGCTACTCTAGAAAAAAAAAACAGCAGAGATTTTATTTTTGTACTGAAACTCTTAATGAGAACACAGATTTTTAAATAAGGCTTATGTCAAACTTAACTGTAGTTGCACTGTTGGCAGGACTCTCCAGAAGTTTGGAGGTGAGCTTTGTTTTGCATTTCACCACAAATATCCCCTGCCTTAATGTTTCAGTGCCTCTGCTAGAGGAAAAGGAGTGGGGTCTGTCACTCTGAGCTTTAATTATAGTAAAAAATCTGGGCAAGTGAACATGTGAATGTGTGTGCAGGGGTGCATGTGGGTGTGTGTGAAGGACAGAATAGCTCCTCCCTGTTCCTGGCTGATATTCCTGTTTTTATACAATTTATAATGATTTATTTAAAGGTGCAATATATGATTTACTGAATAATGATCACTCTATTCTAATAGAGTTCTACTCAGGTTGGTGTCTTTTTATCATTGTTGTTGTTTTTTCTCAAATATATAAATCTGTGAAAATGTTGAACAAAGGTTCCAAGTGTCCAAGCACTCCCAAACAGATTGACTGGCTTTACTGTTTCTACCAAAACAAATTGCACAACATTCTGCTGTAAAGACCAATTTCTCCGTTGTTTCAGCCATTCAAAACTGAGACACATCTTACCTGCCTGCATCTCATTGATCTGATGTAATTGTTTTATAATTATTTGTAATATACTGCTGCTGTTGTTTTAACTGGTCCTTTTAAAAACAGAGCAAATAAGCAGAAAACACCTAGTTGCTGATTTTACAAGTCAGGGATTAGATTGGATTTATTTTGTTGGTACATAACTGTTAAGACTTATGAAGGCATTACCACTGAAGGACTTCTTAAGTAGCTTGGGGAGGGGGGGTTGGGTTTTTTGATCTTTGGATCATTGCACTGGTTGCATTGCAGAGGAGTATGAAGTTTATGAATAATGCTATAGAATAGCTATAAAGTGATGAAAATCTTATGAAGGTTTAGTAACCAGAGTCCCTGGAATTCTGCTGCTTTCTTTTTTTGTTTTGTTTTTGTTTGTTTTAGCAGAGTTGTCAGAAACAGCTACAGATCCTACGAGTATCTGTGGCATTACAGTGGAACATGGCGACCCTGCAGAATCCACTGTCAGCTGAAGGAAAATGTAGGAATTCCTGGTGCACAACTTTAACTTTACAGATACCCAGAGGAATTTTTTTACAACCTGGTGTGAAATTGTGGTGTGCTGTGTGAGCAAAACTGGAGGACAAACCACAGTGTGCTTCAGCTTACTTGTTTTGTTGTTTGTTTGTTTGTTGTTTTTTTGTTTGTTGTTTTTTTGTTTGTTGTTTTTTTGTTTGTTGTTTTTTTGTTTGTTGTTTTTTTGTTTGTTGTTTTTTTGTTTGTTGTTTTTTTGTTTGTTGTTTTTTTGTTTGTTGTTTTTTTGTTTGTTGTTTTTTTGGGTTTTTTTGTACCAGCCACTTGTGCATTCTTGAATATATTTTTCTCTCTCTTTCTCTGAAATACTTTTAAAAAATACTTTTAAAAAGTTAGCAATCCTTCCCAACTCCATCCAAACTGGCAGTCCATATAGTAGGTGTCTCGCCCGGCATTCTTCCTATGCTGCTGTAGACAACAAAGATAAACCACTTGGACCAAGCAGAACCATTCCAAAGGAACTGGGAGGGAGGAAAATCTGTCCCTTACAGTCACATTATTGTTTTTCTCTCTTAATCTTTTAATTACTGCACATCTGTGCAGAACACAGAGCCAGTATTCATTATCCCAGCTCTCCCAAGAACTTGCTGCCTTAGGGTGGTGAATGCTCCCTTGCTTCAGAAGGCCCTTGTTTTGTATAGCACAGAAGAGAGGGAGATCAATCTTCCACACTGTCATGTGTTTGCATTATATTGCAGCAGGACATGAGAAAACTATCTACAAGGGTTTGTGTTTCTGCCTAACCACTGCCCAGATGCTTGTACAGCAAGCAAATGTATCTGTCCTACTGTTCTGATGTTGGAAGCAGGTGCCAAGTTCTCACTTGTGTCATCATCTAATGAGTGTCCATTTTTAATACAGCTGTATGCATGTGTCTTCCCAAAACTGCCTCATTGTGAGAAGAGGCTGAAGTTTGAAGTAAATGACCTGCTGATCCCAAGTATAGGAGGGAAAAAATGTTAAGGCTTAAAGTGTTTAAACTTGAAGTTGGCCATAGTGTTGATGTGAGTAAGTAGGACATGCCTCATAGGATATCTCTGCAAGTTGAGGAGGTTTACAGGTAACTTTCTACTACCTTGTCAATCTGTCTTGGTCAAGATGACTTGAATTCTTGCAAATATTTTTTCTCTGTCTTCTGATGTTCTTTGTTCTACATTTGCTAAGATCTGTCTCTTTGGTCAGTGTTTGCTCTTGCTGTTGCTTACCTAAAGCTGTCCATTTTTCAGGCTGAAAGCTCCACTGTGTGGCAATTACATCTCCTGCATTTCTTTTCTACTCTT